GGTGGAAGGTGTCCCTGCTCATGGCAGGGGGGTTGGAACCAGATGATCTTTAAGGTCCCTTCCAACCCAAACCATTCTATGATTCTATGAAACAAACTCCCCGTAAGACACAATCCCATTTGAGTTTCTGGCAAGTGACTGCTCACCTGAACTTTCACGGTTCCTTGGGGATCCTGCACGTGTTCCAGAGTTGCATCAATATCCAGTGCCACCACCAACCCCGACGTAAACCTCAGAGGATTATCAGATTCACCGGTAGGCTCAATGATATTCGCAGTAGCTTTGTGGAGCTGTGAGGGGCAAGGCGGGTGACAAAAAGAAGGCGGGTGGAGGAGGAGGAAAGAAAAAAAGACAATCATTACTGTTCCTAATGGAGAAATTGTGCACGAACTTTGGATTCTTTTCGATACCGCCAGGAATTCTTAAGACTTCTGTATTTTTAGCAGTAGTCCTGAGGACGCTAGGCAAGAAGAAGAAAGCCTTTGAAGAAATAACACTTGGGACTGACTAAAAACCTGAATCCTAAAAGCTTCGTGGCATATTAGGAACTAGTCACATGCTAAGGCAGTCTGCAAGGATATTGCATTTTAATTCTCTGTGTTAAACTGACCTGCTCTGGGAGGGGAAGGTGGAGGAAGGTACTTTGTCGCAGTGTTGTCTGAAGAATCTTGACCACTTCTGAAGGCTTAGATGTGACGAGTCTGGGCATTAAGTCCAGCAATTTATCTACGAAACTGCCTTGCATATGTGGGAGCTCAGAGATGAAACATCTGTGTTAAGGATAAATTAAAAATCAAACATTTTTTTCAACATTTCCAACAGTAGGGTTATTTTCAGTGAAGCTACTTAATCCTCATATGTTTAGCTATAACGACAGAATTAGATATGTAGGTTCCTCTTCCAATGCACGTCTCACACATAAGATAAAGATTATTTTGGCTGGTTATGTTGGGACCATACCTTGTGCTCGAAGTGACAACATCAAGGGCTGTTCAGGTCTCATTTCTTAGGTCCTTCATCAATAACAGAATCACAGAATGTTAGGGGTTGGAAGGGACCTCTGTGGGTCATCCAGTCCAACCCTCCTGCTGAGCAGGGTCACCCAGAGCAGGCTGCACAGGACCACATCCAGGTGGGTCTTGAATATCTCCAGAGAAGGAGACTCCACAGCCTCCCTGGGCAGCCTGTTCCAGTGCTCCGTCACCCTCAGAGTGAAGAAGTTCTTCCTCCTGTTCATCAATACAGAGCCTGGCAGGCAAAGGAATCTAGATTCACAGCACAGGAGCTAGAAAATTGGGCTGACGGTTGGACTTGATGATTTTAGAGGTCTTTTCCAGCCCTTCTGATTCTATGAAATGCTGCGGTGCTCATGGACAACACGTTAACGAGAAGCAGATATTGTACAGATTTGTCCGCTCGGACCGCACGCGCAGCTGTAATGCTATTTAGCTGGTAAGAGGGCTAATTACATGAGACTACGGGCAATTCCAGTACTCCGCATCCAGTCCCCGTGTCTCAACAAAGAAACGCAGCTGGGTGAAAGAGCCACTCCTGCTACAGCTGCCTTGCAAGCTTCCCAAATCGGTGCTTCTCAGGGAAGACGTGCGCGTGCCCGACTCGTTAGGCTGTGCACTTCCATCCGGCTGACTCCCTAGCTGACTCCTTACGGGACCTAACACACCCAACACGTGAGCTGTCTGACCTGCTGCTGCAGCAACGCTTCCAGAACGGTTTTTCTCTACCAATATCAGAGCATTACTTATTACATCCCAGAGTGACATTCTAACAGTAAACTATAAACAGCAGGGAAAAAAAAAAAAAAAATCTAGTTCTAGAGGTCAAGAACAGAGACTAGAATCCATTCTGTGGCTTGGGACAACAGCCTCTTGCAAGAAGAGTGTTTGATATTTCTTGTTCTTTATACAGAAATAAAATTGGGCTACTACGTTACGTCCCTGCATGCAGAAGATGCTTCATTAGACTGAGTCGTTGGTGGCTTATCTGTTATTACCAGCAACATTCCTGCTGTGTTTAGCAAGACAGTTTTGAAAGCCTAGTGAATACGCGTGCAACGTGGCGAACAAAATGCACCATTTCTGTTGGTGAACAGGCTCTTGTACCACGGCCTCTCCTCCCCACTTGTCAAGTCCGGTGTTGATCTTTATCTTCACCTCCAGCTGAGTCTATAAAGCCTGGACAGGAACACCAGACGTGCCCAAAACAGTTTCAAGTCCTAAAACCTGAGAAGTGAGATTTTTTCCAGGATCTTGGTGGTGCTCTGCAAGAGCTCATAATCCCGAAACGGAAGCCTCTGCCACCAGCTTGGCAAGGGTGGAGAAAAACCACACTCTCCTCTGTATGTGGTTAGAGGGCTGTGCAGGAACACACATCCTCGTGCTCCCGACTGCTGCTACACAGGACAGCAAATTTCAACTACTCTGTCGTGGGACGCAGCTAGAACCTGGCACGCTGAGGCCGCACAACCTAGACACGGGGATTTTATGTGTCCGAGCACTTACATGTGACCTTACAGCTGGCTGACAAGATCTACCACCATCCAGATTTGCTTTTGTGGAATTGATCATTGCGTGTGATGAGGAAGAACTTTTTCACTTCTTCACTTTGAGGGTGACGGAGCCCTGGAACAGGCTGCCCAAAGGGGTTGTGGTTTCTCCTTCTCTGGAGATGTTGAAGACCTGCCTGGACAAAGCCCTGTGCAGCCTGCTGTAGGTGACCGTGCTTCAGCAGGGAGGTTGGACTAGATGACCCACAGAGGTCCCTTCCAACCCCTACCATTCTGTGATTCTGTGTAGGAGTCACATTCCAGAGAAAAAAGTGATGAGGTTTGCTGATCCTGCGACTCGGTGCAAGGGAAAGATACGAAGCAAATGAACAGTTCTACTCCGTAGCTACCAAATGAGCTAAGCATGAGGGAAGGGGTAGATTTGGTTCCCTTTTCTCACCACTTAACTGCCAAGCATATGGACCACGAATAAACATCAATTTAATCATAACTAGAGAAGGAATTCAACTTGGCCAACTCTGACACCTGTGTCTCTGGGCTAGCTACCCAATTCCCTTCTCAGTCGATAGAAGAAACCGGGACATCCTCCATCTGACCTATTTTAGACATCAAGATTAGGGTAAGATGAAAGAAACACCTCTCCAGTGCGAGGAGAGCTGGGCAAGTGCTTCACAAGCAGTGGTCTACAAAGCAAACGTCAACACCTGCGCGAGGCAACTCCCACCCTGAGCATGTAGATGGTTCTCTTGCTCTCTCACAGTTCAGAAATGTGGGATGAGGAAAGGAGAAATTCCTTTTTTGTCATACTCCCGGGAAAGCTCTTCCATTGATCCCACATTTGGAAGTGAGTTTACTTCTTGCTTTACCATTATCTCACGATAGCAGGCCCCGACGTAGGACAGCACCAGGGGAAGGGAGACGTGAAGAGAGGAAAACCAAACAGAATATTCCCTGACGAAAAGGGTGGGGAGACTTGCTAAGAAAGTGAAGCAGCAACAAGAGTTTCTCACCTCTGAAAGGAATCCACTTCCTGCAGGAATTTCTCACACATCCCAAAAAGGGGTTCCACTCTGTAACGAAGTTAACATTCCTTGTTTCAGTTTTAAATAAATAAAATTAGCTCTGCGCTTATAAACACTGAAGTGTTTTGGAATCCAGTTCAAGCTCCTAAAAACTACAAGATCTTACAATTTTGAGACCAGAAAGGTGTTCCCCACAAGAGAAGAAATAAAAATTAATCGCTATCTCCCTCCCCACATTTATATCCCCCTTCCCACCACAAAAACCATTTGCATAAGGCACTAATTAAGTTCCCAAAGCCACTGTTAGAAAATATTACCTTTCCACCTATATAACAAGAGATTAAAAGGCAAAATATATTATGGACTTTTATGTCAACTCAGTAAATTGCTGACAACAAACTCAAAACAAAAGCAAACAAATCAGGATACTACCCACCTCGCTCTAATCCTGCCAGACGGAGTTCTAATTCTACAGCCACCCGATCCCAGGTGGGACTTCACGAACCTCAGCAGCCAAAATGACCCGCGCAGAGCCTCTCGTGTTACCCAAGCCATGCGTACACGCAAGCATTTTGTGTCCAAGTCACACAAGCACTAGCTCCAGATCATCAAAGACTAATGCTAAAAACTCCACAACTATTAGTTAATGAAGCAAGCACAATTAGTGCATTCTTTGATATGAGACCTTTCCTCATTTAACTAGGTCCCAAATATCAACTCTACAGCATTTTAAATCTATTTATATGTCGACAGCTGAAAGAACTCCACTCCCTAAACACGTCTTCCTAGTAATTTCGTCCTCTAATTTAGTATTCTGTCGCTAGACAGCTATGCCAAGGGCAAAAGGTTCCTCATTCTGAATTAGTTTAGCAAATAGCTACTGGCATGCTGTGTTGTTTTATGTCTCTTAATTTATCCTTGCTGGTTTTTTTTAAGCAAAGCTTAAGGAAACTACGCTTGCAGTTAACCCTCGGAAGACCCTTTTCCCAGGCCACCCTTACCCTCTGGTCGTCCGTGCAGTCACTATCAGCTGTAACGCCTTCGCCTGCAGCCGCATGTGGTGAATGATGACCACCTGTTTGCTTTCCACTCCGCTGTACATGAACTCCATTTTATAAGTTTCTTCCAAGATCTGTCAGACACCACAGGGGTAAAAAAACCCACCAGACTCTGTTAAACTCTTGCACAAGATTCCGGTATTTTTCCTCATACTGAGGAACACACTAATCCGCGAGCCGCATTCTTTGGGTGAAATTCTTCAGGGTGTAAAGTGGCACCTAATACTGAAAAGGTTATCCCGGCTATGTTAAAGAAACAATTCACAAAACTTGGCCTGAAATCAAGCACTCCCTCCATTGGCGGTCTGTCTTTTGACACCGCATTTTGAATTTCTAGAGGTAGAGCACTCTCTGCCTACTCTGGAACAACAAAATATGAGCAGCACAACAGAGCGACCTCAGGTTTACATTTCTGGAGCTGTATTTGACCAAGTTTGCTCGGAAACAACTTTCCATTCCACAACGCTGCACGTACCGCAGCTGAAGATGGCAACCATCACAGGATGAGCAGCATTCTGGGTTATTTTAGATACAGGGTTAAAAGCTGCGACAGCACATCGCGCTGTTTCACTCACCGTGCTTTATCTGTCGAATAGATGGGCTCAAGTAGAGTAGGCAAGTGCTCAAATTAATGCAGCTGGGTTCAGTATGACTGTACAGAAGCCAAGAACTTGCAAGTTATTAAAAAGGAAATATTCCCTCACCTTGCGCTGGCGGGAAGTGATCTACATTCACAATCACAACAGATAAAACTTCCCAGGGGGTTCACACGCTACTGAGAAGGGCACCCAGGAGAGACGGTTCAATTAGAGAAGATTTAAAAAGCTGCTGGCCTTTCGTTTCTACTCAGCCCTGGGGACAGCTGTCAACGGCACTGACGGTTTTAATGCGCAGCAGTACCTGCCTCTTATTGCATCTTCATTAACTGAAGACTCAAAATGCCAGCATAGTTTCCCAGAAGATCCATGAACTTGCTCTTACCCTAGATTTGCTTCCAGATTACTTAACAGCTTGCCTTCTCCTTTACCTTTTCTTAGTGCTTAGCTTTAGTTTTTTCCAGGATCAGATCGTTTATACATCACAGAATCAGAATAGCTCAGATTGGGTGGGACCTCTGGAGGTCATCTAGCCTGGTCTCCTGCTCAGAGCAGGTCTAATTAGACACAGTTACTCAGAGCCACGTCAAGCTGTGAACACGTCCAAGGACAGAGATTCCCCCCCACCTCTCTGGGCAACCTGCTCCAGTATTTAACCTTCCTTACAGGAAATTTTTTTCCCCTTACATCTAATCAGAATTTCTGATATTCCAACTTGTGTCCGTCATCTCTTGTCCAGAGCAGTCTGGATCCATTCTGTCTAGATCCTGAGATGAGGCAGTGTAGTCAGCAGTAAATCCACCCCAAAGCCTTCTCTTCTCCAGGCTGGACAAGCCCAGTTCCCTCAGCCTCTCCTTGCAAGAATGTGCTCCAGCCCCTGACTGCCTTAGTGGCCCTTTCCTGAACCCACCCCAGTTTCCCAGCATCTTCCTTCTATCGGGGAGCCCAAAACACAACACAGCCCTCCAGACGTGATCTCCCCAGAGCTGAACAAAGGGGATGGATCACTTCCCCAGACCTGCTGGCTACACTCTTGCTAAGACAGCCCAGGATGCAGTTGGGCCTTCTTTACTGCCTCACATTCAACGTGTAGTCCACCAGGATCCCCGTGCTGAACATCATGAGGTTCCCATCATCCCACTTCCCCAGCCTGTCCAGCAGGCATCATCTCCAGCATATCGACCAGCTCCTCGATTTGGAGGAGCCTTATCACCCACTTACTCAGACAGAATCCTGCCAGTTTGGTGAAAAGGAAAGGATGGGAAACTGCGTCAAAGGCTTTGCTAAAGTCAAGGGATACGATGACGCCCACTGCCTTCCCCTTGTCCACAGCACCAGTCCCTTCATCACAGGCAGCTATGATGTTGGTTAGGCTCAATTTCATTGAATCATAGAATGGTTTGGGTTGGAAGGGACCTTTAAAGGCCATTTAGCCCAACCCCCTGCAGTGAGCAGGGACACCTTCAAATGGATCAGGTTGCTCAGAGCTCCATCCAACCTGACCTGGAACGTTCCCAGGGATGGGGCATCGACCACCTCTCTGGGTAACCTGGGCCAGGGCCTCACCACCCTCAGTGTAAAATTTCCTCTTATATCCAGTCTAAATCTCTCCTCTTTTAGTTTAAAGCCATCACCCCTTGTCCTATCGCTACATGGCCCTGCTAAAAAATCTGTCCCCAGCTTTCTTAGAAGCCCCCTCTAAGCTCTCCCCACAACCTTCTCTTCCCCAGGCTGAGCAGCCCCAGCTCTCCCAGCCTTTCCTCCCAGCAGAGGGGTTCCAGCCCTCGCATCATTGCTGGGGCCTCCTCTGGCCCCGCTCCCACAGCTCCAGCTCTGTCCTGTGCTGAGGGCTCCAGAGCTGGACGCAGGACTCCCGGGGGGGTCTCAGCAGAGCGGGGCAGAGGGGCAGAATCCCCTCCCTCGCCCTGTGCCCACGCTGCTGGGGATGCAGCCCAGGGCACGGTTGGCCTTTGGGGCTGCCAGCGCACACTGCCGGGTCATGGCCAGCTTTTCACCCCCCAGCACCCCCAATCTGCCCATGGGAAACGCATTTTGACTGTTCCAAATCACCTTGTTGACCCTCATTTGTTTAGAAATGGCTTTTAAGAGGAGTGGGTCCATAACCTTCCCCAGTAAAGAGGTGAGGCCAAGCAACCCACAGTTTTCCAGATCTGCCTTCTCGCTCTTCTGGAAGATGGGTGTGATGTTTGCCTTTTCACAGTCGCGATGAACCTCCACCACTCGCCACTCATCTTTTGAAGCTGAGAGAAATCACCCCACTTCGGGGAACTGAGGTTTACTCGGACAGACTACAGCAGTGGAAGGTCAGAAGCGTATTACTGCTGCGGAGCCAAGGAAGGGCTTGTACCTGAGGACTTGGCCCCACACAGACCCAGCTGCTTCTGCCTCACCTGTTTCGCTGCAGCAGATGCCAAGGCGTTCTGTTTCAGGTACAGAGGAGCTGCCACGTTCCACAGCTTCTCCTGCAAGGCCTACAGAAGAAAATCACGAAATAATGATAAATACCCAGTTCAGTCTAAACGTTGTAAGGCTGCGCTAGACGGGCTTGGGAGCGGGGAAGATGCGCTGTCTCTCGGCTGTACGCCAACAGGTTGGCTGAAAAAGCAGGCCAAAGTTCTCTTTTGTGCTTTTAAACACAGCACGGACAACCAAGGCCTCCAAAACATGTGCTGTTTTATAAATACATGGAGATACCTATACAACTATAAAATATAAAACAGAAATTGAGAACAGTGTTAACAAAGCCAAAGAGACTGGCTGAGCCAAACTCTTCAGTACTTTTTAAGGAGAACTTCATGCAGCGTGACGACATTTATTAGAAAAACAATAGCCCGCTGCTTTATCACCTCCCCAAAACCAAGATCGGGGCAATCTCAGATTGAATGGCAAAAAGTGGAAACAATAACAACTGTCCCCAGAAACGCACCCACAGAGTCCTATTTCGGAGCTTTCCTGTTGACAGTCTCCACCCCACCAAAGATCTGAGTTAGTGTAAATCAGCTACTGATATTCATATTAAAAAAAAACCAAACAACAAAAGCAGACACCCAACCACACCTTATTTGCTTTTTGATTCATGTTTAAAAAAATATGAAAGCTTGACTGGATGATTTATATCACTGCCTCCGTTTTGAAGCTGCCTGTCCTTAGATGCAGCTACCCACAAAGCTGCCTGTAGCCAAAACTCAGGAACACACAGACTGTATCTGTCACCTATGCTGGCCCCAGAATCCCAGCTACCTCCCCCTAAAATCACAGGGTATACAGAGCCTTTAAAGGTCTGGAACCTTTTGAGCTGCAAGAGCCTGGGAAATGAAGATACTTTCCTCCCCAACAGCTTCTTTCTCTTGGGGAAAGAAGCAGCTGGAAAGAAATCTACTGAAAAGCGCTGCTCTGACATTTGGGTTCTCTCTGCCGTAGCAGAATCTCTAAGCATGTGATATTCCGAGTTACTTTTCCTGTCAGCCATGTTACCAACTCCTCTACGTCGCTCACGCACTGATCGTTCTACAACCGGAGCCAAGAACGGTTTGTGCAGTGCTTACCCCAACCGGAGCACTCCTCTTTGCCAGGCACTCAAACCAACTGGTTCACTCCAGTCCGGTGCTGGAGAAGGGCAACGAAGCCACCTCCAAATGCTGGTCCTCTGCCTGGGTAGCACATTTTGCTTCAGCAAAAGTTTTGGATTTAGTTAGGATTGTGCTGAACTGTAACACCGCTCATCTAACACACCTTCTTTGGGTGATATCTGTACTCCAAGGATTTGAGGGCTGCCACGAGATATGCCAACTGGTAGCTATGCATTCAGCAAAGAAACTGAAATCCCTTCTTGGTTTTACATAACAAAGATTTTACTGAGCCCCTTCTGGAAACCTGTTTGTGAGTTCTTGCTTTACGTGTCTATAGATTACACCCTAAAGAACGCCCGGAGACTAACGTCAATACTACTGCTGGTTTATAGCTTGAGAAGTGAAGCAAAAAATCAGTTCCTGTTTACAGCAAGAAGCAGCTGACTTCAACAAGGGTTGCTGCCATGGTGTCAAAATAACGACTTCGTCTGCTAATACCAAAGAGAGAGATCATTTCAGCACTGTAAAAGAAAGCACGACTGATATTTTGCTCAATCAAGCCTGAAGAATTCCTTTAGCACTGGGGCCAGAAAAGCTGCCTGCAAAACACTGCCTAGAAAAACTCCACTTACAGCAGCAGTTTAGCAAAAAGCATTCCAGTGGCCAGTAGCAGACAAAAGTTCCTCTTGCAACGTAAAAGGCTACAGAGTAGTTCCCTCCGTTGCGATTCCTGTCAGAAAATAAAATTCTGTGCTGGCAAAACGCCCACAAACCAACATGAGCCCTCGGTGCAAGGGCAGAGATCCGCACTGGCATACGCCCTGGCGAAGCTACTGCATAAATTCTTTGCCACAGGAGGGAAGTGGGAATACCAGAAAACCGTGGAACCCGCGCTTGCATCACACAGCGGTTTTCAGCACGAACATCAACCCGCAGAACTGCGGCACCGTGACGGACTGGGGCATTTCTGAAGAACAGCCCAAGAAACCTGGGTGAAGTCAAACCTTGATGAGGAGCAGCTGACACTGAAGGTAAGTCGCCGTGAAATCTGCCATCCCTGCCAGTTCCGACTGCAGCTCTCCAAGCCTCTGAAGATCACTGAAGCATGTGGAAAAAAAAAAAGAAAAAAACAACACTGAGACAGCAAGCAGGTTAATGGAAACGCACTCAGAATGCGGCAACTGCAGCACCATTCCTGCATCTTGCTTTTTCTTCTCCGTAGAACAAGCAGCAGGAACAGTAGCGAAAGACACGCTACAACGCAGTTTGCACCTTGGGACTTGGCATCTCCTTTCTTCCCGGCGGCGGCCGCCAGCACAGCAGTGGAAGCAGCAAGTCTGTCAACCCACCTCACCCCGCAGCCCCACGGGAACCGTGCAGTGGAGCAGCTCCGGATTGAACTTCAAACACTCCAGGCTTCCCCAGCAGCTCACGACCCATTTGTGTCGCGCGGCTGGGAGATCTAACCGTTCCCGTTGGCTAGGAAAGGTTGTTTGGAACGCGTCGGGCTGGCGCGGCCAAGCGGATTTGAAATACAGCTGCCTTTTTAAAGCGAGCTGCAATCTGAGGTACCGACATTTGCCCAAGTAGCTGTCGTGTGCTGCCTGGTATCAGCGTTTCTTGTAAATCATACAGCAGCAGAAGTAGCTTTTAACTTCACAGAAAAAAGAGAGACAGTTAATGGAACCCAAAATGGCTTTAGTTCTCTACTCTTAGACATGTTTTAAAATCAAAAGTGTGTAATAAAAGAACAAGACTCATTTTTTGTTATAAAGCTGAAACTAGGTTGGATGATGTGGAATCAACGTGTCTCTGTTCTTCTCCGCGTTTTGCTTTGATCCAAAGCGTACTAAAATTGTCACTAATTCCGTGTTTCTTACGGTATTATTAAAAAGAGTATTTTTCCTTCAGATGACCCTTTCCTTCTGTTTATTTTAATTTATTTTTTGCATTTACGATGCAATTCTGAAATTTTGCCTCTGCCAAACCAGAAGGTTCTGAAGCACTGACATGTTAAAAAAAAAAATAAAAACCCATGAGATTATCTGTGTAATTTGCAGCCAAAGAAAACCTCTCGTAAGCAGAGGGGCTGTGCCTTCCTTCAGTGCAACAACAGCAGAGCCAGCCTGAACCCCGCAGAGCGACTCCATCTCATCTTTTCCCAGAGAGCAAAGCACAGACTCCTGGGTGCTTCATTCCCGTGTCGTGCTTAAGGCATCACAACACACCAGCGGGGAACGCGATGCCATCCCTCGGCTAACAGCCCGGCAGATATTCCGCTCCCCAGCCTTCTACGGTTCCCAACTCCACTAATTCTATTTCCTTACAAACCTTAAACAGATTTCAACATCCCCAAAAGACAAAAAAATTTAAAAAAATTCCTCTTGTATAGATGGAGAAACTAAACCACAAAGGGTGATTTGCTAAAAAGCCTGTCTGGCAGATCTCAGCTGCAGAGCCTGGGGGAAGAACGTCAGAAAAATAAACAAATAACCTTCAACACCTTTTTTTTTTTTTCGTTTTTGTCTTAAATCCTCCCTTCTCTCAAGGGTGGAAAGCATTAGCTGGTTTAGTACGGCTTCTGGGTGGTGAACCCAGCAGGAAAAAAGCCAAGCCAATCATTTCCATCGACTCCAAAGCTTTACTGTCCTTTACCGCACACAAGTCACTCATGCGGCCATCTCCGACGCGACTCCTACACTCGGAATCACAAACCTTCACACCCAGTGAGGTCTGCAGGCCTTCATCACGCCTCTCAGACTCCGGGTGCTCTGCCAAGAGATGACCCGTTTCACGCAGTCAGGGCACTAAATGCTTTGAGACCGCGCTTTAGGCTGCGCGTAGCGGCTTCACAACAGCTGAAGACAAACCCTACAGTTTGCAGCGCTGGGTTTTCAGCGAGGAGCACGCTGCTCAGTCACCATTGCAGGCGGCTGTGAACGCGACACACAGCTACACGTACAGGAGCAGCAGCTATTTGGGGGAAGGAAAAAAAAATACAGCTTTTCGGAATTCCATACTCCAAACAAAGCATTTTATACTGTTTTTTCTAACTCTCAAAATAAGACTCTTTTCACAGAATCACAGAATGGTCGGGGTTGGAAGGGACCTCTGTGGGTCATCTAGTCCAAC